ATTTAATTGAAAAATTTAATTGAAAAAGTTTTATTTGTGTGCAAAAATCGCTTTTTTGAATCCTCCTTGTGGGCAAGTTTAGAGTCAGATATTCAAAAAAAATGATATCAAATGAAAGTGAAATATCTAAGATTTCATTATGCAAAAAAATTATTATAATTTGTTCATTTTTCAAAAAGTTATGGCAATTTTTAGTATTAAAATATTTTATATTAAACAGTAATTTTTACATAAAAATTATATTTTTGTTAAATTTGATGGCCATTTTCTCATAGAAGAATATTTGACGGAACAAATTTTTTTTTTTGAACTTGTAGTATTTATTGTAAACTTTAATTTAACATATATTTAAAGAATGCAGTATTTCCAGAACATTTTCAAAAGTTAGGTTGAAAAAGTTCTACTTTATATATGAATCTTTCATGTTTTAAACCACCCGGTGTAAAAGAAAATAAAAGAAATATATATAATGTATTTAGAAAAAAAAATTTTGTGTTGATACGTACATTATTCAAAAAGTTATAGCAATTTAAAGTTGAAAATTTTAAATGGATAATCGAAAATTTAAACACAAAAATAGTATTTATTTAAGTACAGCAGCCGATTGCACGTAGAAGATAAGGTGTCGGGACAAATTTTTTTTTTCATTTTATAGTACATAAATAAGCTTTAAATTGATTTATATTTAAAGGATGCAGTATTTCTGGAAAATTTTCGAAAGCAATGTTGAAAAAGCTAGTTTTTGTAAAAAAGTTGCTATTTTAAATCCCCTCTTATGAGCAGGTTAAGTGTTAGATTTTCAAAAAAATGATATCACATGAAAGGGAAATATCTAAGGTTTCAATATAAAAAAAATTATGTTGATATGTTGATTTTTGAAAAAGTTATGAAAGTTTTAAGAAATAAAAGTAAAAAAAACGTCAAAAATTACTGATTTTTAAAATTGTAATTTTTTTGGAAATTTCCTCCATTTACGGGGAACCAGGGAAAGTTTTTCAATTTTTGAGGGTAATGACTTCGAATAGATACAATTTGTGATCTTTTGACGTATTGTTGAAAGAAATCGGTTCAGTGAGAACTGAGAAAACGTGAATACAGGCACAAAAAAACAATAAAAAATAAAAAAACACATATTAAAATTAATATCTTTAAGTCACTTTTGTCAGATTTTGTAAACAGACATTAGAACTATCATCATAATAATTCGAAAAAATGTTCTCAAATTTTGTAAACCAACTAAACGTTTCATAATCTTTTGTAGTCACATATTTGATCATTATGTACAAAAATTTTTAATTTAATTATTATATTTACACTTAATCGTTAAACTTTTAAACAATTTCAGAATTACCCATCAGAAATCAGAAATCAAACCACTAAAAGAGTAAATATACTATAATAAAGTTACTACAAGATTGTTATTTTTTTATTTAATTATTTTCGAGTATTTCATTTAAAACAAATTATTTTTACCAGGTGGGAACATCACAAAAGGAAGACACTTCTTTTAGTCTTGTATGTTAAAGTTTATGATTTCTATAGAGTGCTTATTATATTATTTTATTAAAATTACATTACAGACACATGATAATCAAATTTATATTATTATTTTTTTCAGGATTTCTTTTATCGTATACATCATTGGACAAATTACCAATAATAATTACAAATAAAATATATTAATAATATGAATTGAAATAATAAATTATTTGTAACAATTAAACCTGAAGTAAAAAAAAGTATAACTCTGAAAAACAGTGTTTTATTTCACTGATGTTGTCTAATGAAAATTATTATTTTCATTCATAAAACTATTTAACCATCTGTTAACGAATATTAGGAAATTATATAACTAGGATATATAATTAGGAGTAATAATTAGAGTATATAGGGTAAGAGTTTGAGAAAGGAGTATACGAGGTAGGTGAAATGAGATGAACAATTATTCTGACATTAGTTAATTTGGTTATGATTTTAAAATTGTAATTTATTATAAACCTTTGGTTGCTATAGCAGTTTCTTCGAAAGGACAGCTCTTTTTCTTTTAATACTCATATTATATGGTCATTAATAGCTGCATCCCGTCCCCCTGAAAATATTAATAAATAACACTTATCATATTTTTTATTTACTAAAGTAAAGACATAAAAAAGAGATAAAAGATAATTATAAAAATATTAGAAAAAGTAATGGTGATATTGTAAAAAAAAAGGGTTTTTGTTTAACTTCAGTAGCCTTCGCATGTAAAATATAGGTGTCTGAGCCAATTTTTTTTTAAGGTCAGTTGTATTTATTATTGGTATGTTTTAAGTTTTGGATACTCCTACTGGCAAGGAAAGGGTCATATTTTTATATCTACAATTTTTAATCTACACAATAAATTAATAGTGGACATTAATGAGAAGGAGTCCCGAAAGTGTACATTAAAATAATAGAGGTTGTGTATGACATTTGTACTAAGGTAAAAATGTGGGTGGGGCAACAGAAGATTTTTGGGTTAGACTAGGTGTATACCAAAGTTCTGTTTTAAGCCTTGACTTATTTTCTATATTGATTGATGAAATTACTATCAAAAAACAAGGAGAAGTGCCGTGGTGCATTTTGTTCGCTGACATTATAGTGTTAATAGAAGTAAATTAACTCTTTAATGAAAGTATAAGAACATTTATTACTATGTTTTTACCACTTATATTACATACGTTTTATTTCTATTTATTTAACTCGTAATACATATTAATTAGCTTAGAGGGAGATGCTGATGTGACAATTCTATTCGTCTGTAGCCCGGAGCTACTGACGTTGAACTAACAAAGGGCAGTTGTGTTTGAGTGGACGTTATAGACATAGTTTTCAGTACTATTACTTTCGTCTTATTTATATTATTTAAAACTTAACTTTTTTTATTCAACGACCCGTCTATCACCAATTGTCATCATAGACAACTGTAGCGAGGTGTAATATATAGAAGTAATAAACACTTTTACGATTTAATAACAACTATACTATATTACAACGAACTAACAAATAACAGCGATAGACGAAGCGCGTTTAAGACAGAATGCGTAAGTGATTGACTGATCGATTGATTGACTGGAGCGACGATCTTGCCCTTAAATAGTCAGAGGAATCTTCTAGAGGCGGCGGCGGCCGAACATTCTAGAACATTCGACCGCCACACCACCCCCCTATGGAGTGGAGTTAGCTAGGGTCAAAAATGTCCGGGAATCTGACTCGGCGGCCTGAGCGAGTTGTTCGTACTGGCTGTGTTGATGGATCGGTATTAGGCGGTTGTTTTTGTTTGGGCGTATTCGGGGCAGTCGCTGGTGGAGCATGTGCCTGGCTATCGGTTGTGCTTTCGTTCACCATGAGGTAGGCAGGTTTTACTCTATCAATCGTCACCGTAACTGGTTGATTTCGAACTTTTATTGTGAACGTTTTGTCATTTCGGGCAATTACTTCGTAGGGACCTTGATATGGCGATTGAAGTGCTGCTCGAACGCCTCCCTCCCTGAGAAATACGTGTGAACAGTCCTTAAGGTCCGCAAAAACAAATGATCGTGGATTTGAGTGGCGAGATGCAGGTACTGGACGGATTTTATTCATAACACTGCGAAGACGATCTAGTAAGCTAGTAGGGTCGTTCGTACTGCTATTATCTTGATTGTCTGTGAAGAAATCACCAGGAAGATTAAGAGGCTCCCCATAAACAAGTTCCGCAGACGTGGCTTTTAAGTCTTCCTTAAACGCAGAACGTATTCCGAGAAGCACGATAGGCAGTGACTCAGTCCACGAGTCTTTTGCGTGGGCCATGATGGCTGCCTTTAGTTGTCGGTGCATTCGTTCGACGAATCCGTTTGCAGCAGGATGCCAACTGGTAGTGGGGCGAAGCGTAAAACCAAAACGTTTTGCTAAAGTTTTTAAAGTAGCTGAAACAAACTGAGTACCACGGTCAGTCGTAACGTATTGAGGTACTCCGAAGCGTGAAATCCAGCAATTGAGGAAACCCTTAGTGACATCATCTGCTGTTATACGTTCGAGTGGATACACCTCCGGCCAACGGGTGAAACGGTCGATTACCGTCAGACAGTACCTAAAGGACTGTGATGGCGGCAATGGACCGATGATATCGACATGAACATGTTTGAATCGGCGTGAAGGTGTTTCAAAGTTTCCCAGTGGGGCTGAGACGTGTCGGCTTATTTTCGATCGCTGACAGTGGACGCAGGCACGTGCCCAGGAACGGCAATCCTTTTTCATTGCTGGCCACACAAATCGTTCTGAAACTAAGTGAGCTGTTGCGCGTGCACCGGGGTGACTAAGGTTGTGTAACTGATCAAATGCGTGACGCCGGAATCGTTGTGGCAAAAATGGTCGTGGGCGTCCCGTTGACGTGTCGCAATAACTATAGGCTGAAGATCCTGGCACTAGTACCTTCTCCAAATGAAGAGATGAGTTTTTGTCAGTAAAATGTTTGAGGTCATCATCCGTGTCTTGAGATGCAGCAAGAGCTCGGTAGTCCAGCGGGAGAGACACAACTTCAATGCGTGACATTGTATCCGCGACGATATTTTCATCACCTTTAATGTGTTGAATGTCGGTGGTGAATTCGGATATGAATGTCAACTGGTTGAGTTGCGTAGGAGGTATCTTTTCTCTCCGTTGGGTGAAAGCATATACGAGTGGCTTATGATCGGTGAAAATGGTACATGGTTGTGCTTCGACAATGTGCCTGAAATACTTCACCGATTCATAGATGGCAAGCAACTCACGATAATACGCAGGCCACGCACTTTGTTTCACCGACATTTTCTTTGAAAAAAATGCTATGGGTTGCCAGATGTTATTGACTCGCTGCTGCAGACATGCGCCGATAGATTGGCTAGATGCGTCTGTGAATAGTCCAAGTCGTGCGGCTGGATGAGGATGTGCTAAAAGAGTAGCGGTCGCAAGACTTTCTTTGCATGTGGTGAACGCTTTTTCTAACTCGGGAGTCCATTCTATCGGTTGGGAACCTTTTGTCTTCGGGCCTTTGAGAATACCGTGAAGTTGTGCTTGCAGGTCGGCAGCTTTGGGAATAAACCGGCGATAAAAATTTACCATTCCCAAAAACCGGCGTAATCCTTGCATAGATTTTGGCAATGGATACTGTCGTAGGGCTTCGACGCGTTCCGGTGGCGGGCGGGTGCCTTCAGAAGATACTAGGTAACCTAGAAATTTCACCTCAGCCGAACCTAATACACATTTTTGCGGGTTAACGACAACACCGTAGTCAGAAAGTCTCCCGAAAAGAGTGCGTAAATGCTGTTTGTGGTCCTCTTCCGATTTAGAGAATACCAAAATGTCATCAATATATGCATAACAGAAGTCCAACCCATTGGTAACTTCGTCTATGAAGCGTTGAAAAGTTTGTCCAGCATTTCGCAATCCGAATGTCATAAAAGGAAATTCGTAAAGTCCGAATGGAGTGGTAATGGCTGTTTTGCATATATCGTCCGGATTAACAGGTATTTGATGGTAAGCCTTTACCAGATCGATTGTGGAAAATAGCGTGCAATTAGCCAGGTTGTGCGAGAAATCATGTATGTGTCTGACTGGATAGGAGTCTGGTATAGTTCGGGCGTTCAGCGCGCGGTAATCACCGCAAGGACGCCAGCTGTTCTCCCCTTTCGGTGCTAAATGTAATGGTGAAGACCACGGACTGCTTGAAGGTCTAGCGGTACCTGCCTTGACCATTTCCGCGAATTCCTGTTTGGCGATTTTTAGTCTACCTGGAGCTAAGCGGCGTGGGCGGCAGGCTATTGGCTGACCAGGTGTCGTAAGAATGTGGTGCACTGTTTGATGTTTTATTGTCCTGGGCAATCCGGTGGGACGTGTGATGTCCGGAAATTCTGCGAGAAGTGCAGCCCAAGGGGAAGTGTTGGCAACTGATTTTATGCTGCATTGATTTACAGAGGAAACCTTACCATTCACAGCCAAGCCTGTGACACCATCAATAAGACGTTTGGTACGGCAATCCGGCAGCAAGTGGTAGTATGCCATGAAGTCGGAACCAATGATAGGAGTACTCACGTCGGCGACAATAAAACTCCACGGGAAACTGCGTCGAAGTCCTAAATTCAAATTGAGATGGACCGTCCCGTAAGTTTTTATGGTACTGTTGTTGGCCGCGCTGAGGTCGTAATCGGTGGCATGGCGTCGTTTCCGTAGTAGCCGTTGAGGGTAACAAGATAAGTCGGAACCGGAGTCGACTAAAAATTGGCGCTTTGTTATTTGATCTGTAACAAACAGGCGGCTGCTCGGGTTCGGACAGTCTGTTGCCGCCGCTACTGACTGTCGTTGGAGTTTTCCTGATACTTGCAGGGAGCCTTACATTTGGCAGCCTTTTCTCCATAAGTGCTATGATACCAACACCATCCTTTGCCGGTAGTCAGTTCCACGTTTGAACGGTTACGTGACCTAGAGCGGGAACGTTGCGGGCGTTTAGCACATAATTCGCTTACCTGTTTTGCGAGTGCTTCAATGGCGGCTAAAACATCGAGTTCCTTTTTATTGTTCGTCGTGGCAACAGCATGGACGAATTGCGAGGGGGCTGGCTGCACTTCAACAATTTTGTCAGCCAGCTCGGCTACCTTATCCAGAGGAAGCTCTGATTGTGCGGTTAAAATAGCTTGTGCATGTGATGGTAGACGGCGGAGCCAAAGTTGACGTAAAATATTGTCTTGTAATGTAGTAGTGCCGGCAAGGGAA